TAGACCCAGAACTTAACCTCTTATCCACTATCTATGACAATTATCACTTTAATGATCTAAATTGCAGATATTTTGCAGCACATGATGTAAACAATGCATTAACTCACAATCACAATATCTCTGTAATCAATTTGAACGTTAGATCCCTAGGTAAACACTTCGATGATGTTAGTGCCTTGATTGAAGCTATTGACAACAAATTCTCTTTTATTATACTTACTGAAACATGGTTGAAAGAGGATACTACTCAGCTCTTTAACATGCCTAACTACTCAGCAATTCACAACTGTCGTCAACTTCAGAGAGGTGGTGGCACTGCTCTTTACTACCACCAAGAACTAACATGCTTAAAAGAAATTAGAACCAGAGACTGCTATGGGGAGTATATCTTCGCCAGCTTCAGAGTCAAGGGTGCCGAGTCTGTCCTGTCTGTGGGTGCAGTTTATAGAATTCCTAACACTGATGTGTCCGAATTCAACTCAAACCTTAGAAATCTAATACTTGATAACAGACTGAACAAAAACCACCTAATTATCGCAGGGGACTTTAATATTGACCTCTGCGAGCCTGAACACCCTACTGCTGTTAGCCTCCTCAACTGTATGAATTCCTGCTTCCTCATACCCTTAATCACTAGACCTACTAGAATCACTGATAGCACTGCCACGGCGCTAGATCACATCTGGACAAACATAACCTCTCCGCTTACTTCAGGTATAATCACCGATAGCACTACAGACCATTACCCCACTTTTCTCTTAACTAACATTAGCAAACCACCTCTTGAGTCAAGAGAGATACGTTTTAGACTACACAATGAAACTTCTATAGACAATTTTATAACTGCTGCTGATAATGTCAACTGGGAGTCCGAGTTAGGTAACATAGTGGACATCAACCTAGCAGTGCAATCTTTTCTTCAAAAAACTCTTAGCCTTTATAATACCCACTGTCCTATGCTTACAAAACAAGTCACAACCAAAAGGCTTAACAATCCCGGGCTTACAAAGGGAATACTTAAATCTATTAATAAAAAACATGACCTTGAGAAGAAGTATAGGTTAGGAATTGTCTCCAAAGAATTCTCAAAGAATTACTCATTATTGCTGTCTAAGATAATTAGACGAGCCAAAACTAAATACTACGAAGATAAATTTACCCAAATAAAGAGCAACATTAATCAAACTTGGAGAACAATTTCACAAATATTGGGATCAAAGAAGTCTTTAAATAACAAACCGACTCTCCTGTCTAATAACGATGGTCAGCTTTCAGCCTCTGATTCTGCTATTGAGTTCAATAGGTTCATCTCTTCCATTGGTTCATCCCTTGCAAATGATATTCCATCTTCCAGTACTGACATTAAGGACTATCTTACAGGTAACTATCCACAGTCTCTGTACCTAAAGCCTATTAATTCCACTGACGTCAATGAGATAATCCTTTCCCTTAAAACCATGTCTGGTGCCCTTGAGGAGATACCAACTTTAATTTACAAAAAAGCATCCAGATCTTTAGCCCCTGCTATTGCTTTGCTCTTCAACAAGTCACTTGAACTCCAAACCTTCCCAGATATTCTAAAAAAAGCGAGAGTAACGCCTGTCCACAAATGTGGTGATCTCACAGATGTTAACAACTACAGACCTATATCTATCCTGCCAAACTTGTCAAAAATTTTTGAAAAACTAATCTATAAGCAGCTTTACTCATATCTAGCCAAACTCAATATACTTAGCCCTTGCCAATATGGCTTCAGACCCAAAAAAAGCACTAACGATGCACTTATTAGTATGCTTAACTCGATTCATACAGCTCTTGATAAAAATGAGTTCCCTGTTGGGTTGTTTGTGGACCTGCGTAAAGCTTTTGATACTGTCAACCACCAAAACCTTCTTCTTAAATTACATCATTATGGAGTCAGAGGACACTCCCTACAATACCTCAAATCCTACCTTACTGACAGGCTCCAATATGTTTCTGTGAATAATACAATTTCTACCACCCTACCCATCAACATTGGTGTTCCCCAGGGCAGCATACTTGGCCCTCTCCTCTTTCTCATCTACATTAATGACCTTCCAAATGCCTCCCAACACCTCAAACCAATTCTATTTGCTGACGACACAACCTTCATTTACTCCAGTCCTGATCCCCTTACTCTAAATGCCACAGTAAATACTGAGCTAAATAAAGTCCATCTGTGGCTAACTGCCAACAAACTCACCCTTAACATTGACAAAACCTTTTATATTCTGTTTGGCAATAAATCCTCTAATCAAATAAATCTCAAAATAAACAATACCCAAATTTGTAACAAATTAGATGGCAAATTCCTTGGCATTCTCATTGACCACAAGCTGAATTTCCAGGGACACATTCTAAACATATCAAAAAAAGTTTCAAAAACTGTGGGCATTCTTTCTAAGATCAGATATTATGTACCACGCCCTGCCCTGGTGACTCTCTATTACTCCCTTATCTATCCATATCTCAACTATGGTATTTGTGCTTGGGGCTCTACTACCCAAAATCACTTACGTCCTCTAATTACTCAACACAAAGCTGCTATTAGGACAATATCCAATTCTGGCCCCAGACATCACTCGGTACCCCTACTTAAATCTCTGAATATGTTAGACATTAAGTCACTGCACATTCTCTCATGTGTATTATACATATATAAAACGCTAAACTATAATGCCAATCCTGATCTCAAAAGCTTCATAGAAGGTTGTAACAGAACCCATGAGCACCACACCAGAAATAAATACAGTTTTGATATTCCTAGAGTACGACTTAATCAAACTAGAAATGCTCTACAAATCAAGGGGCCCAGAATGTGGAATGACCTTCCCAACCATGTTAAAGACTGTACCTCTCTCAACCAGTTTAAGTTAAAAACGAAGCTATACCTAATAAATTCCCTGTAACCTACCTTACCCTTCTATTGTCAACCAATGTCTGTTTTTCTTTAAAGAGCGCTGTTTGTCGACATAATTGTATTTGTGCTGCTTTTTCATCTATGTTTTCATTTCTTGTTTTCATTCTACTCATTATGCTCAATTAGTATTAAGCTTGTTATTTAAGTTTATCATGCCCGAAACGCTTTGCGTAATAGTGGCTTTAGGCATTGTATGTACTAGCTCTACCTATAAGTCAACCAATCCTTGTAAAAATTTATTGTATGTATGTACCTTACCTAAATAAAATTGTATTGTATTGTATTGTATTGTATTTTAAATAGCAATGATGAGTAATTCTTTGAGAATTCTTTGGAGACGATTCCTAATCTATACTTCTTCTCAAGGTCATGTTTTTTTTATTAATAGATTTAAGTATCCCCTTTGTAAGCCAAGGATTGTTTAGCCTTTTAGTTGTGACTTGTTTCGTTAGCATAGGACAGTGGGTGTTATAAAGGCTCAGAGTTTTCTGAAGAAATGATTGCACTGCTAGGTTGATGTTCCCTATGTTACCTAATTCAGTCTCCCAGTTGATATTAGCAGCAGCAGCAGCATAAAATTGCCTATAGCAGTTTCATTGTGCAGCCTAAAGCTTATCTCCCTTGCCTCTAGAGGTGGTTTGTTAATGTTGGTTAGGAGAAATGTGGGGTAATGGTCTGTATTATCGGATTATCCCTGAAGTAAGTGTAGAGGTTACGTTGGTCCAGATGTGATCAAGAGCCGTGGCAGTACTGTCAGTGATTCTAGTAGGTCAGTGATTACGGGTATGAGGAAGCAGGAATTCATACAGTTGAGGAAACTAGCAGCAAGGAGGGGTATCAGGCTCGCAGAGGTCAACGTTAAAGTCACCAGAAATAATTAGGTGGTTTTTGTTCAGTCGGTTCTCTAGTATAAGATTTCTAAGGTTTGAGCTAAATTCAGTCACATCAGTGTTAGGAACTCTATAGACTGCTCCCACAGTCAAGACAGCATCGTTACCTTTGACTCTGAAAGAGGCAAATATATACTTTCCATAAGGGTCTCTAGATTTAATTACTTTTAAGCAAGTCAGTGCATGGTGGTAGTAAAGAGAAGTACCACCACCTCTTTGTATAGGACGATAGTTGTGAATGGCTGAGTAGTTTGGTATGTTGTAGAGAGACGTGGCCAGACAATTACAATGCTAACCAACATATATACATTTTCTTCTGTCCTCCATGGACAGGGTGAGAGATCAGTTAAACTTATAGTTCGGGGAGTTATTGCACAATCAACCACAGAAGGTTATTGTAGTGCTTATAAAATGATAATTTAACACTGAAGATTTGTGTAGTATCCATTTTTAACCACTTTTCAGTAAGCACAACAAAAGAGAATTTGTTGTCAACTGTTTGAATTAGGATTACTAATATCATCAAAGTGTTTGCTTAGAAATCTTACATGCAAGTTAATAACAGAATCATTGTGATTATGTGTTAATTAATACATTGTTTACATCATATTTATAACAATTGTGACACTAGCTCAAATTCAAAATTCAAAAAATTCAAATGTTTATTCAGGTTAAGTACCTACATACATGGTGTCATGGTGTGATACAAACATTGATGGATTTATAGATAGAGCGAGTACATACAATGCCTGAAGTCACTATTACGCAAAGCGGTTCGGGCAAGAAAAACACTAAAGACTAAAACCTTAAGGTAAAGACTAAAACTAAAGCTCTTCACATATGTCAGTTGCTTAATTTAGAAACTGTACTTGTGGTCGATCTCGAACCCATTGTTGATGTGACGACTTATACTGAATTTTGTAACTAGCTCATCAAGACTGTAACTTGCTTAGCTAAATGAATTGTGGGGTTCAGTCCCTGAGCCCATTATGTGCGCTGTAACCCTTTCCTCTACCGCCCACAAGATGGGTATGGGTTGCATAATAAATTAACCAACCTCAAAAAAAAAAAACTGGTCAATACGTTATTGTGGTGGCCTTAATAACCCTCCAGAGGTTAATAGGCAAAGTCCAGCACCAAACCCGAAAAAAGCCCGCGTGCGCATCTCAAGTGTCAGTTGTCTCCTGCCATGTTGTAAACAAACATCCCCAACACGTCTCTGAGAGCACCGCTCGTGTTGTTGTTGTCTGTTTATTGAGTTTTTGGACCAAATAGTCAAGATGCCTCGTGTTATGATCAAGGGAGGTGTGTGGCGGAACACTGAGGTAAGTTACCACTAATATTAGGGGTCAAATGGCGGTAATTGTAGAGAATAATGCTGGAATAGCTATTTTTAGTGATGGTTTTTCTGCCTTCGTGTGCTGATAGGTCTCATTGTATACATAGTATTCATTATTTCTCTTCCAGGGTGTGGTTTTTAATAATAGTGATGCTATTATAAGTAATTATGCCAGGGATGGAAATATAATTAGTCTGTGGTTTTAATTTTCTTTTGCCTGTTTAAGGAGTGACCTATTTTATCCTGGATGCAACCCATCTCTGGAGTAACGCCTAGGTACCTATAATACTAATAATAATATCAATAATAATAGTTTAGGTAAACGTACATACAAACAAAATGAGTTACAAGCAGAATGTTGGATTTCTAGATTTAACTAATTTATACTATGTCTAGAGCCACTAATACGCACAGCGTTTTGGCCAAGATGTGAGAAAACAGAAAATTAAAATCTAAGACTTAAAACTAATTGAAATCATACACTTGAACTGAAGTATATATATTTTTGTAATACTTACATGTTGAATGGAACAGCAGAAGTTGTAGCAAAACAAAAGATAGTAATTATAACTAAATAAACAGATGCATTACAAGTTTCTGTAAATTTACATATGGTAGATATTAGCAGTTTTGCAAGTTAATCATTAATCATTAGCATTAATGTTTAATAATAGCAAGACATAGGTTGCAATCTATTTACTGCTAGGTGAACAGGGACATGAGGTGGAAGGAAACATACTCATATATCTTGACCTGCACGGGAATTAAACTCGGGGTCTTTGTGGGGGAGCAGACTGTACTCTAAGTTCGTATAAACTAATCCCATTAAAAATGTATAAAGATTTATAAATAAAGTATTTGAATTTGTACAAACCACTTCACCACAGACAGTAGCTTAGGATTACAGTATCTATATTTTTTGTAAAAATATTGAAGTTTTGTAAATCAGTGGAGTAATAAGCTTTTATTTGTAATACACTGTACTGCAATGATGTATGTGCTCTCTCAATGAATAATATTTTCACTTGTTCTTTTGTTTGCCTAATTCATTTGTCTTTTACTTACTACTTTTTTTATTTATACATTATACACTTTCTGAAGCAACCTTTATTCAGGTTTTTCTATACATTCTTGTTTGCTAGAGCAAGCAAATGGTAACTGGTTCACATGTATGATGCCTCATCCAGCCTGTGAAATTCTTTGGCAGATATTTCATATACAGTATATGATATATTGATCAAGGTGTGGAAGATAAGGGGTCTTTTGGAGGATTTCATCCCCCTATTTGTCCCATACAGTATTTACCTTGATTTGCATGAGGTTTTCCAGAAAGGCTTCACATGTATTCCTGGATTTTTTTTTTCCACGTGCCACATACAGATGAAAATTTTACTAACATGAAATGAAGTATTTCCAGTGAAAATTGTTCAAGGCAAAGGATATGATGTACAACAATTTCAAATGATTTGCAACTAAGTCACTGTAAGGTTGTCATATGTAATATTAAAAATATTAATCATTTGTAAATCTACATTGTATGCCATAGTCATAAACAAATCTATTATATCATGTAGAATCATTTGCAAATCAACTTTTATGATCTAAAATCATTTTCTCAAACCTGACTTGCCAGCCGACCATGGTGACAGATGGTGATGTGCGCAATGTTTCTCCTACAAACATTCACAATACCTTACCTTGAGGTTACCTTGAGGTGCTTCCGGGGCTTAGCGTCCCCGCGGCCCGGTCATCGACCAGGCCTCCTGGTTGCCGGACTGATCAACCAGGCTGTTGGACGCGGCTGCTCGCAGTCTGACGTACGAGTCACAGCCTGGTTGATCAGGTATCCTTTGGAGGTGCTTATCCAGTTCTCTCTTGAACACTGTGAGGGGTCGGCCAGTTATGCCCCTTATGTGTAGTGGAAGCGTGTTGAACAGTCTCGGACCTCTGATGTTGATAGAGTTCTCTCTCAGAGTACCTTGGTGGGTTTTCAGAACCCACTGTTACATGGCACCCATTCCGATCACCTCGATCTCCCAGTCTTAGAGGGAGATCCAGAGGGAGTTTTCCTTGACAGTAAACATCACAGTAAGGTGAATAGATTTAAGGCGAAACGCCGCCAGCATCCTGAGGTACCCTGTGACCCTCCGCCTCTGTCTCTACATCCTCCGCTCACTCAGGGTAGGATGAGTTCTCCTGGTTTACGAACGTTCATCATTGCCCTTGATGACGATATGCCCGTTGATAGAAGTGTTTTTGGAAATAGCAAGGCACAAAGTCTCCTATATCATGCCATTCACAAGTACTTTAAGATCAAAGTGCATGATATCAGACCAAATAAAAGAATGAACTTAATTACAGTTGATCTCAATCAAAGTGAGGACCTGGAGCTTTCAGACGTTACTGAAATCTGTGGTTACAAAGTCATGCTACACTGAGTGACCATTTAGCAAGATATGTAGTCTGACATGTTGACATTAGTGCAGACGACATCAAGGCACAACTTCAGGCTGCTGACATTCCCATCTTCGGTGTCAAGAAATTTCTGCATAGAACAAATGTAGAAATGAGTGATACCAGCACTGCCCTACTTACTTTCCTAGACTATTTTCCCTCTAATTGGATTTCGATTAACAGCTTCCTCCATAAACTAGAGGTGTATGTTCCACGTCTCACTCAGTGCTTTCATTGTAAAGGTTTTCACCATACTTCGAAAAGCTTCACACATGAATTCGAATGTGGGAAATGCTCTGGTTCTCGTTGCACACGGGACTGTGCGTCCTATATACTCTGCTGCTTAAACTGTGGTGGTGATCATGATGTTACATTCAAACAATGTCCTTCATGTGTAGCAGCACAAACTCGGGGTCTCCCCCCCACCATCTCCCTGCAATACAGTCATGCACTGAAACAACCTAACTCGGTCCGTCCTCGACCGCTACCTATATGTCTGTTGCTGACATTCCTGTAACCCCAGTATCTGATCCTCTCCCACAAACTGTTCACCTGAGTCCTGATCTTGTTGAAACACTTGTCACTCGCACTGTGATTAAACTCAAAAAGACGCTGGACTGACTCCTAACTAAATTCTTTTTGCAATCCATCCAACCCATTCCTGAGATAGACCCACCGCATCCCTCCTCCGCATCTCCTATGATTGACGTCCACCTTCCTGCAGCTACTCTTGCTGTATACAAAATGTTTGAACTGATGCTGGAAAACCTCCTCTATAACTCCTTGGCACGCCATACCCAAGTCACTCCCCAGGTTGATTTGCTGCAAACCCCAACCCCCAGAACTAAGAGGAAGCAATCCTCCACTGTCCCAACCTCCAAGCGCCCTGCCACTTTGCCTGACAAGCCACATAGACCACACACTCCCATGACCCATCCCACAACGCATCCTCATCCCACTCCCAGATCTTCTTCACACTGTCCTACTGACACGTCTAAGAAGACCGATGCGATGGCGTCCCAGACGTAAAGCTCCGGCATCCCTCACCATAACTTGCCCGCTTAGTAGTAAGCATCCTTCAGTCTCAGAAGACTATGGAGTTGCGCCCTGACAGGGCGCAAAGCCTGGGTAGGTAGATATGGAGGAGAAGCTGTTACCAATGCAGCAGGTCCTCCCTCTCCATGTTGCTGAAATTATCCAACAGAAAGGCAAATGCCAATACACATGGTTCCAGCAACGTCGCAGGAGCTGCCAGAACGAGGTCGACATCAACAACGAACTGCCTTGGGGCTCCAACTCCAGATTTTTCCTCGAGGTTGACTCCTGAAGCCTTTCCCAAAAAAGGGGTATGGCCGTAAGGCAGCAGAGGTTTAAAATCAGGGTTTTCCTACCCCTAGATGGGCTGCCTTCCCAGGCTATCGAATCCCATCTACCCGGAACAGCTGGTTTTAAGGCGCCAGAGGCACGCCCTCGCCCCTTCTCCTGTCGGTAAAAGCGGTTCCGCCGGACTTAAAGACTAAGCCACTTGGTTGTCAGAGGCTGTTGGAGACGCATGCCGTATAGGAGCATTTTATAGGTCATGGGAGCTCGTCCCCCATTACCACCCCCTGGCTATGACAACCCCTTGGAACCAAGAGGTTGCCACTTAGGGCGACGCTTTGCTTTCACCATCAATGCGACTTCTCATCTTCCCACCTCTGCCACATCATGAACATTGATGCATCGCTGTGGGTGCCGCATCTTTCAACATTACCACTCGTGCTGTCATCGGGAGGAAGAACCTTCATGCAAATTGCACATATTGCGACAAATAAGAAGAAAAATCATCAATCATGACTCGGTTTTCATCATATTGTGTGGGAGCTTTTCCTGTCTCAATATAAAATCTAAATCTTTCCTTGTGTATCAATCCTGTCTTACTGTTGGACGAAATTCTCTATCATGTACCCCATGGTGAATATTAAAACGGTCCTTTCTGGCAATGTGCCAGTAGGCTGCCATTATATGTATGCGTGATGTGAAATAGTGTCTCGGCTATACCGGGCAGGTGTAATGTGGCTCTCACTTCTCATCGAAGAAAAACAAAGTGCAGCTTTGGCTCTTGCAGAGTGAAAGTTGTATAGGATAGAAAGAATAATCATATACAAAATTAACGAAGTTTACTATAATCTTAAATATTAATAAACATGAAAAATGGTACCTGAAAACACTTGACGATCATACGAGAAAACACAAAGTAAAAGCATAAACAAATTGACATTAATACAAAATAAAGGTGAGCTGAAAATATTTACATACACCACTACCACCTGCACACGACGAAGCGGGAAGCAAACGACGAGTGAAGGCTGAGTGTTGTTTCCAGAGTACCAGAAGAGACTTGATTAGGTGTGCGAGGTCATGAGTACTGTATATATATACCCCCTGCTGGTGACATGACGTCCTTTATCATCGAGACCTGGAATGGGAGGCCGGCAGCGTGACTGTTAATTAGTCACAGGTAACGACCCACCGGCTGGAACACCTGCATGGGGGTCTCGGGGCTGGTGAAGGGTGACAGGTAGGGTATTTCAGATGTACTTCTGGGTCGCGTGTCTGGTTTTTGCTACCATTTGGTGAAATGTAAAGTGATGTACTGTACTTAAAAGTAAGAAGGAAGAGGTGGTTTCCTCTGCTATGTGGGGTTATTACGTGACATATGCAATTCAGAAACTTTTACTTTGTGCATGTCACAAAAATAATTTTAGCTTTGATACTTATATATTTTATAAGAATTTAAATTAATAAAAAGTGTCTAGGAATGCAGTACAAATAATTAAGAATTCTGGCAAACTTTAGGCCAGCATTTTTCAACCTTTGTACCCTTGAGGTAATTCAGGTTGTACTTTAGATACATACACAATTTTCTTTATTTACTGAAAGGAAACTATTTTTTGGGGGGAGCCCCTATGGCTTCCTGGAGCTATCCAGGCTGATATGGATATATTAGAATTTGGCATTAATGTGAATGGAGTTCTAGGCCTACTGGGGACCACAAGCCAGAATCTGGCCCCCCTCAGAGAGGCATGGGGAGCAATGGCCTATAGAGACATCCCCCCCCCCCTGTGGTTGGAAGCATTCTATGTCTGCCATCCTTTGGGTCAGGCACCTAGAAAGGTAAGCGTCCCAAAACAAACTCCTATTCTGGTTAAGAAATTGCTACTGAAAGTCAAACTAGTGGACGGAACTCCTCAAACGAAAAATGAATAAATGAGCATGATGTCACCACATCGCCATGTCGCTTGTCTGTGGAGCTTCGAGGGGGTAAAGGGGGGAGCCCCAGACCCCAGTTCTTTGGCTGATGTGATTGACAACGATCGTGTGACTGACTCCTGTTTTCCTGTCCTGCAGCTCTGTGCCTTGTGGTGTGGTGCTGTTTCTTTGATGGTGTGCGAGCCAGGAGTAATTTCACAAATACTCGGGCTGTATGTGCCTAGGATCACCTTCTCTAGGTGCCCTGTAAGTACTGCCCTTGAGGCTTAGGGCCACCTTCCACAAGTCACCTTGGGATCTACCACTGCTTGGTCTTTTGCTGCTCGGTGATGGACCGCCCTTAGTGTGCTGGGGTGTTTCATGCACCCTTGTTTGTCTTTGCGTAGGGGTAGTTTGCACTGGTAGGGGTGCAGGGTACTGCACAGCTAGTTTTCACCTCTCATAGTGGCTGGCTCTTCCACCTGGGTACGTTCTCCTCTTGCGGGGGTTTTCCTTTTGTTTTTGTTTCCTACCTGGTGAGGGGTTCTGCCCTTGGTTATGGTTACCCTCTATTGCTCTTGGTGGTCCCCTGCTAAGCCCCTATTTGTGGACACATCCTGGGGGTTCAGTTTTTAGCAGTTTTTTTCATAGATTTGGGCACCGATTAGCAGTACCCTGCCTGGGATTCCCTTAGCGTGTTTCCCATCTAGGGGCTCTGGGAAACCCCGCGGGGGCATTTGGGTTCGATGGATACGTCCCCCGAGTCCCCTCTTGCCATGTGCGAGTTTGGAGGTTGCTCTGTCCCCTTATCTTGGGTGATATTCACCGCTTCTGCCTCCATCATGCTGCCTGTTGGGTCGGTGACACCTTCGACCCAGAGTCCTGCGAGTTTTGTTGCTTGTTTGTAACTCAGTTCACCCTGTCCACTGATGACTGTTGGTACAGGCAGCTCAAGCATTGCATGCTAGGTTTAGGTTGCTGCAGATACCTGCAGGATGCAGTACTGTATTTCTGTTTTATGCTTCTTGTCTCGCGTGTCGGCAGGCGGTGCTCGCTACCTCCATGGAATCTGCCGGGGTCTTGGCTCTTAGGTTTTCCTCTCCTTTCTGTCCCTTGTTTGCGAAGTCTGCGGTTGGGCAGTATCTACAGGTAGCTTCTGCTAGTTGTCGTCCGATGTCGGATTTGTTGGCTCGCGTGGGGCCCGTGGGGGTTCTTCCTGGAGGGGTCGTGCCGACGGCCTGCAGTGGCAGTGGGTGGCTCCTCCCCCTTCAGAGGTTTCAGGGCTGGCGGGGCGGGCCTCTTCTCCTGCGCTTTGTTGGGTCATCTCGGAGTGGGTGCGCTTGGGCGTGGTCGAAATGACATCCCTCAGGTGAGTTTCCCATTTGGTCCCAGTTTCCAAACAGGACTGTGTGGACCTGCGGTTCATTCTGGACTTGTTCCTTCTGAACCCCTGGGTCTTTTGCCCTTTTTTCAGATTACTCTGTCCTAGGTCCGACTTCTTTTGGAGCCGGGCACATGGATGGTACCTCTGGACCTCAGGGATGCATATTGGCACATACTGATTCATTCAGGGTTCAGGGACTGATCCCGTTTTGTTGTGTGACGTCAGTGTTACTGCTTTCATTGCCTTTCATTTGGCTTGAACCTAGCACCTTGCGTGTTTACACGCCTTACCCGGGTCATGGTGGCCCATCTGCATCTTTTAGGGGTTTGAGTCCTCACCTACCTTGCCGACTGGCTGGTGTGGGCCCCCAGTCAGTCTGCATGTCTGCTCCCCAGGGATTTGGCTCTTTTCCCAGCTCACTGGATTTGGGTTCCTGGTGAACTGGAGGAAGTCCCATCTGGTTCCCTCTTAGGTTCGGCTTTGGCTGGGTCTTGTGTGGGACTCTCGGACCGCTTCCTTGTCTCTCCCTCCGGAGGCTCTGCTTCGGCTGTGGTTCTGCCTTTGCTTGTTTTGGGGGGGGCTCCTGGGTCAACCGGTGGTTGCTCAAGGGTTTATGCTGGTGCCCGAACTTTGTCGTGATGGTCTACCCGCCGGGTCAGGTTTGGCTTCGTCGGCTGTTCTGATTCCTTCAGGGATGTTCCTTCCGCCTCTCTCGCAATCGCTGGGTTTGGCCTCCGGGGACGTTGCGACGGTTGCTGCGTCGCCGACTTCCTCTTCGAGTTTTTCGGGGTTCAGTGCCTTGGCGCCTACCCGAGCCCTCTCTCAATGTATTCAGGGACGCGTCGTCTCTTGGCTGGAGTTTTGTGACCAGTGCTCACCAGGTCGGCCAGGAGCGGTGGGGTCCTTCCTTCCGTTGGGCGCACAGCACAGTGTGGGAGTTTGCGGCAGTGTGAATGTCGCTTAGGAGGGTTCGGATTGCTTGCTGATCGAGGATCTGGCTCCATTCGGATTGCTCCTCAGTGGTTCATTGCTTGAACCGAGGGGTTCAATGGGGTCCCGGGCTCTTTGGGGCTGATCGCTTCGGGTGACTCATCTGCTGAGTTTTCGGGGTTTGGCTCTCCTGGCCGTTCACGTTCGGGGGAGGAGGGGGGGGGTGTCCAACATCCTGGTGGACAGCCTATCGCAGTTCATTTCCCTGTCCATGGAATGGATGGTTGACGCCAACTCATTCAGTTGGCTCTGCCGGACTTGCAGGCTCCTGGAGGTTTACCTTCTTGCGTCAGCGTGGTCGAGGCATCTACACAGTAAAATAACAACGTACTGGAGTGAACGATATGGAAGAAAATGCAAGATTGAATCAGTGAAGAGCAGAGGTGCCATAGGCACAATCAGAGAGCACTGTATAAACATCAGAGGTCCGCGGTTGTTCAACGTTTTCCCAGCGACTATAAGAAATATTGCCGGAACAACCGTGGACATCTTCAAGAGAAAACTGGGCGGTTTTCTAAGAGAAGTTCCGGATCAGCCGGGCTGTGGTGGGTACGTGGCCCTGCGGGCCGCTCCAAGCAACAGCCTGGTGGACCAAACTCTCACAAGTCGAGCCTGGCCTCGGGCCAGGCTTGGGGAGTAGAACTCCCAGAACCCCATCAACCAGGTATCAACCAGGTATTATCCTGGTATACATGGCGTCCTTTCCTGACTGCGGGGTTGTCAGTGTCGATGCCTTGCAGCAGGACTGGTCAAGGTGGGTTTACCTGCTCGCTTGTAGACTTACCAAGGGTGAGTAGTCCTCTTGGCTCCTTGGTGGCCGGCCCAGCCTTATATGCTGCAGTTCTATTATGCATAAATATTTTTTATTCCCTTTAACAAATTTGGTGTGGAAGGATACCCAGATTTCTGTCGTGGAGTCTGTAAAGGGTTAATAGTGAATTCTAATGTTATTTCTTTTAAAACATTTTAGGATGAAATCCTCAAAGCAGCTGTTATGAAATATGGCAAGAATCAGTGGTCGCGTATTGCATCACTGCTTCACCGCAAGTCTGCTAAGCAGTGCAAGGCCCGGTGGTTTGAGTGGTTGGATCCGAGCATCAAGAAGACGGAATGGAGCCGTGAAGAAGATGAGAAGCTACTGCACTTGGCTAAACTTATGCCGACGCAGTGGAGAACAATTGCTCCCATCATTGGTCGTACAGCTGCACAGTGCTTGGAACGTTATGAATACTTGCTGTAAGTATAGCTGTCTCATAAACTCCCATTGTTACTAAAGCATATTTGCAATAATTTGATAAATGTTTTTGGTATATTCTTTCTGTAAATGTTTGAAGACATTTTGGTTTTCAATGTTTGATTGGCAATCTTGAGTTATCTTGAGACGATTTCGGGGCTTAGTGTCCCCGCGATCTGGTCCTCGACCAGGCCTCCTTTTTATTACACATCCCCAGGAAGCAGCCCGTAGTAGCTGTTTAACTCCCAGGTACCTATTTACTGCTAGGTAACAGGGGCATCAGAGTGAAAGAAATGCTGCCCATTTCTTTCTGCCTCCACCGGGGATCGAACCCGGAACCTCAGGATTACGAATCCGAAGCGCTGTCCACTCAGCTGTCAGGCCTCCCAGGTGAAATAAAACTCTGCCCATTTTGTTTCCCCCTCCACCGGGGGTTGTATTCGGAACCTCAGGACTACGAATCCAAAGCGCTGTCCATTCAGCTGTCAGGCCCCCTAAAGGCCCCCTAGTGCAAATACTGTAAATGTTCAAGACAGTATTACTGTAATTATCACAATTCTTTTAGAAGATATTTTGAGAGCTTTTGATTATTGCATTTATTTGTAAATGTTTATAGGGACTGTTAGTAGTACTGTAGTAGTAGTAGTAGTAGTAGTAGTAGTAGTAGTAGTAGTAGTCAGGTGCTCAGACACATACTGTTTGACAGTATATTGAATGAGAGGTTTTCTTAAACAAACTTTGAAAAAATCCCCATTGCTAACTTCTCGCTCTACTCAGGATGCAACCTACGACAGTTGCCAGGTTCACAGGATGAACGAATGAATTGAACTGAAATTTATGAGAAATTTGTTCATATGTGCTGAAAATGAGTTGAACATCCTGTAGCATGCATTCATCCATAATCCAAAATAAACAGAAGCAGAAGCAGTAATAACAAAGAAAATAGAAATGCACACACAGTTTATTTATTTATGTATTTATTTATTTATTTATCTACAAGAAGGTACATTGGGTTTGTGAGAGTACATAACATTGGTGTTCTTACATTCTTGCAAAGCCACTAACATACATAGCATTTTGGGCAGATTCAATTGTAATTAAGTTTTTTCTGCCTTACTCTTCAGTGATATTTAAAAAATTGCAGTACAGTGATACCTTGGTTTTCGAATTTAATTCGTTCCCAGAGTCGGGAAGTAAGCTGAAAATTCGCAACCCGAAACAAATTTTCCCATAAGAAATAATGCAAATTGAATTAATCTGTTCCACACTCCTAAAAATATTAACTTCAAAATACATTTCATACATAATACACACATATTTTGTACTATAGTATGTACAAGTTAGAGCTTACCTTTGTTGATGACTCTTGTTAGCGTATGGAAGATGGTGATGAGGGTGGGAGGAGGAGAGGTGTTACTGTTTTTAAGGGGAGTCCCCTTCCATTATAACATCAGGCAGTGATGTCTTCTCTGGGTTACTTTCTCTCCTATGTTTTGCAGACATACCACTAGGAGCTGGTTGTGGCTCACTGCTTGCTTGTCTTACTAAGAATCTGTCTAAAGACACTTGTTTTTCCCTACATTTTAACACTTGTCTGTAGTGAGACATCACATTGTCATTAAAAAGGTCAATGCAATGGCCTGCTACAGCTTTATCTGGGTGAGTTTTTTTAATCAAAACTTTGCAGTTCTTCCCATACTTCACACATTTTCTTAATGAGGAAGGGACATCCTCTACTGCCTCTACTCACAACTATTTTCTTAGGTTGAACCTTACCACTGACTTTCTTGGGACCCATGGCATGATATATAATAATTACTTTTATGTTCAAAAACCAAAAAAGCAGAAAAACAATGAAATTCTTTACAAAGAATTCAAGCGCGATCGTCACTAAGTGGGAGGCACTGGTAAACTGAAGTGCAGTCACCCGTGCCACCAGGAACCATGCGCTCGGTCGACCCATACGTGTATCAACAAAGTCGCAAGGCGAGGCAAAGTTCATAACCTGATTGAAATTTTCCGAAGAAATTGAGTTTGTAACCTGAAAAATTCGTAAAGAGGGACGTTGCTAACTTAGGTTCCACTGTAACGATTTATTAAATTCAATTTACTGATGTGTTCAGCATTCTACAATTGACAAAGTTAGATAAACACAATGGGGGGCCTCGTAGCCTGGTGGATAGCTCGCAGGACTCGTAATTCTGTGGCGCGGGTTCGATTCCCGCACGAGGCAGAAACAAATGGGCAAAGTTTCTTTCTCCCTAAGTGCCCCTGTTACCTAGCAGTAAATAGGTACCTGGGAGTTAGTCAGCTGTAACGGGCTGCTTCCTGGGGTGTGTGTGTGTGTGTGTGTGGAAAAAAAAAAAAAAAAAAAGAAAAAAAAAAAAAAAAAAAAAAAAAAAAAAAAAAAAAAAAAAAGAAAAAAGAAAAAAAAAGTAGTTAGTAAACAGTTGATTGACAGTTGAGAGGCGGGCCGAAAGAGCAAAGCTCAACCCCCGCAAAAACACAACTAGTAAACACAACTAGTAAACACAGAGCTCTATGGCAGCATTTAGAAAACCTGCATTGTATCCACAACTGATCAGGTATTTTATTGACTCGGTGGCTGATTGAATGCTTTTCTTTTAGAATGTTTTCATTTAGTACTAGTATTTTAACTCTGATATATGGATGAAAGTCTATAAAGGTTAACTGAAAATCCTTATGTTCAAACATATTTTTAATAACAGGTGTATCTTGCAATAATTTCAGAGATCAAGCCCAGAAAGGGGAAGATGATGAAAGTGTTGATGACCCACGAAAACTTAAACCAGGTGAAATTGATCCAAATCCTGAGACAAAGCCTGCCAGACCCGATCCTAAAGACATGGACGAGGATGAATTAGAAATGTTGTCGGAGGCTCGTGCTCGCTTGGCTAACACGCAGGGCAAGAAGGCTAAGAGGAAGGTAAAACTTGGCAGTCAATGTTTTTTACATTCAGAAAATGGTAGCATTGGAAACATTTCAAATATCCATCAACAAATTCAGCAGGGCATTGCTTTTCAAAAAGGAGAAGACTGAAAAGTACATTTCTAACATTTCTACTAATCATTTATGGCATTTTTTAGTACTTAAAACTTAATCAGACATATAAATAGACCTATGAAGATCATAAATTTTCCTGCTCCTTTGTACACTACAAATTCAAAGAGTTCTGTTCCAAAAAAATCTATAGAAAAGATGCTTGTGCTCTGATGGTTTCTTTACCTTATATGACTACAAAAGTTTACACACAGGGTAAGTTTATTAGTATAATTAAGAAACCTTATATGGCAATAATTTTATTATCATGTATCTAGTGATTTTGTTTTCTTCTTTAGGCTCGTGAAAAGCAACTTGAAGAGGCAAGGCGATTGGCTGCCTTGCAAAAACGTAGAGAACTTAGAGCTGCCGGCATTGATCTACCTCAGAAGCGTAAAAAACGAAAAGGAGTTGATTACAATGAAGAAATTCCATTTGAAAAGACACCAGCACCAGGATTTTATGATACTTCGCAAGAAGCGTATGACCCTATGCAACCCAACTTTAAACGCCTTCGGCAGCAGCATCTTGATGGAGACCTGCGGTCTGAAAAAGAAGATCGGGAGAGAAAGAAGGACAAACAAAAGTTAAAGGACCGCAAAGAGCAAGGTGTTCCAAACTCGGTGTTTGAGAATGGTGAGGCTAAAACCAAGAGGAGTAAATTGGTACTGTCTTCGCCACAGATATCTGAGGAAGAATTAGAGCAGGTGAGACATTTAGATTTCCTTTAAACCTTAAACAACTAATTAAAAGTCCTACATCTTAATATATATGACAGAAAATTGCTCACAAAACTAATATAAATACAAAATAAGATTTGGTGATTCAAGCAGAGGAGGTAATCACAGATAGCAGTTGAAGTCGTGTATAGGTTAATGCCCTCTGGCATACCTATATCCATCACATTAATACTATTCTGTCTTAGTTAAATGATGCATATAAGGATTCCATGTATGAATTTCTTTTTTTCAGGTTGTAAAGTTGGGAAAAGCTTCAGAAGCTGCAAGAGAGCTGGCAGAAGAAGTTGGAGGAAGTGGTGCATCCCAGGCCTTGTTAGCTGAATATAATGTGACTCCCGGTCAGGCCATCCGCACTCCTCGCACCCCAGCTGACATGGATCGTGTAATGCAGGGAGCACATGACATAATGGCTTTGACCCATGTTGATACACCACTGAAGGGTGGCATGAATACCCCCCTCAACCAGCAAGACTTTGGTGGTGTTGAACCCAGCAAAGCAGTGATTCAAACTCCAAACAGTGTCTTAGGTACTCCATTTCGAACACCCTCTGGCACTCAGATAACTACCCCGGGCCGCACACCTGGGGCTCTGACACCCAGAGGTCAACCACTACCCCCAGGATCAACTCCAGGTGCAACACCAATCAGGGACAAGTTAAATATAAACGAGGAAGGTGCTCTAGTACCCATAGACGATCGCCAGGCTCTCAAAGCATACCAGCGTAATATGAGAGAAGCTCTTCAGTCAGGCCTCAAATCCCTCCCAGCACCCAAGAATGACTTTGAAATTGTTGTACCTGATCAGGACGACGGCCAACCTGGGGATGAAGACAAGGATCGAGGAGAACCTCAGGTGGAAGACCAAGCCGACTTGGATGCCAGGTAACCTAAGTAACAGTTAGCTGAGTCTTGGGTGAATAGTCCACTATGAAAAGTTAAGATGTGACTTTGGATGAGCTGAGTTTCAAGTGAGGAGTCTGATATAAAACCAGTGATGTGGTACATTAACATGAATATTTAATACCTTCCTAGATGGTAAAGTATGTAAAATGAGGATAAACTTGGATAATTATGGAAAAAAATGAATCGTAGTGAAACACACAAGGTCATATATACTGTATATGTTATACAGACGATTCCAAGTTTCTTGACTAATTTACAAAACAAATTTGATATGTTATAAGAGTGTGCGATTATGTATAAGAGAATGATGTTAAGAGTACAGTAATTGTTGTCAAGAGAAAAGGTCTTGTGTTTGGAAGGGACAGCATCAGTATAATAATTGTCAAGACAGAGAAAATGGAAGCAGGTGGTTGTTTAGTAAGCATACAGTATTAGTAGGGAGGTTGAAACTGAGAGGATGTGGGACAAGGACAGTGTAGATGCTCTGAGGGGCCCTGGCAAATTTAAAGCAGTTAAGTTTAGCATGTGTAAAAAAGCTTGTCTCAAGAGACTATTCCTTATTGTTGTGTATGCACAGTTATGTCTTGTTTAGAGAGAGAAGGGGAAATGTGTTGAAATTTCTTTATCTTCAACATAGACAAGCCATCTGTTTATCCTTATTAGATCTTAACACTTTCATGTCCCCGACGTGTGTGCCCCAGCCCACCCCAAGGTGGACCAAGTGTTTCACGTGAGCGCGCACTCACTATGTGCATACTCTTTTCAGTTTTCTCACCTAAATTTTTGTGTTACATCGTTCATTTGGGTATAAAATTGTTCGCAATAGAATTCCCTAAAGAGATATATGCATATAAGGTCAAAAAGCCTGGTGTGACACTTGCACTAAACTCAAAAATCGACCGAGCGTTTTCCTGCGTATTTGCACTAAAATGTGTGTACTCTTTACAGTTTTCTCACCTCAATTCTCATGCTACATCATTCGTTTTGGTATCAATTTGTTCTCAATAGAATTCCCTACAGGGGTATATGCATATAAGGTCCAAAAGCCCGGCGCCTCCCCTCCCTCCCTGCAGCAAAGCCGAAAGTTGGCCAAGCGTTATCCGTAGGGAGCACCCATTGGCACACCCGGAATACCTGCACACAAGTGTTTCTACTCTTTTCAGTTTGATAACATCAATTTTCGTGTTATGTCGTTCATTTTGATATCAAATTGTTTGCAATATAAAGGTGCACATTTTATAACTAGTCCCCATAATAATAATCAAACAATAATTGGAATTTTTACAAATATTTTAATTTTGAATGCAAAATGCGTCCCCGCCGGACATCTGTAAGATTATTAACACTTTCGCGCTCTCGGCGAAGGTCACTCAGCCAACCGTATGTGCGCGCGGCGTTTTTATCGCTTAAGCGTAAAAACAAAAATGTGTATACTCTTTACTTTTCTGACCTTAGTTTTCATGCTACGTATTTCATTTTGGTACCATCGTGTTCGCAATAAAATTCTCTAGAAGAACATCAGTAAAAAAAGTCACAAAAGCTATAGAGATACCAGCATGAAATAAATAACTACGAAGATGAGTCGCCGTGAGCGCTCAACAGCAACAAAATGTTTTTACTCTTGGGATTATTATCACCTCTACAATTGTCCTACAGCCTTAATTTTGGTATCAATGGACTCCCAATAAAATTCCCAACACGATGATATGAATATAATCGTAGAATAATGGTCCCGGCCCACCCGCAAGAGTGTGGGAAGTGGGCGCACTGTTACCCGGTAACGGTGACCGGACGACACACGCACGAAACGTTGCTTTGAAAGTTTATACTTATTTCACTGTTCTGATATTATTATTGTATGTATGTCATTCATTTTTGTGGCAATGTTTTCGCAATAGAATGTTCTATGAGCTAAATTATACTACACAAACTTGGACCAAATAGGTGTACTTACCAAGGGAAGGCTGGTTGTGGAACAGTAAGTTGAGCATTTGTTCTTCTCTCCACCTTCTTCAGGTTCTTCATTCCTGAAGTTGCTCAACAGATGGTTTGTAGGTAGAGTGAAGCTGTTGCGGGTGGTTACTTCTTCACCACCCAATACACCTGTTTCCGGTGGTAATTGGTGTAGCAGGGAACAACACAGAGTGCATCACCACAGGTCTTGCATCCATAGTTCGTGTCCTTCCTTTTACCGGACCGTGCGCATGCATGACACTTGAGACGTTTGGGCAGTCTGTAAATTTCATGTTTCAGTTTGTAGTTCATGCGATTTTCTGAATCAACAATAGGGCGGCCAGGTCCTCTCGCTGGAGGTGTAACAGGAGTTGCAGGAGAGTCAGATTCATCTGACAAAACAGTTTCGTCAACTGGCAGTGTGGCAGGCATGTCGGGTTCAGATTCGTTGTCTGCTTCATCTTGAGGTGGTGTAGTGAACAAAGGCCGCCTCACACCAGATGGTCCGGGAGTTGGCATGGCGTCAGCATTGGCAGGAGCTGTGTCATCATTTATGTCTGGAGCGTGCCGCAAGTGTTGAGATGATGATGTTGTTTTAGGCCACTCCTCTGTGTCCCAGTGCAATAGGGCCCAGATTGCCACTTCGTGGAACTGTAGCAATGTTAGCTTTTTTCGATCAGTTGTGTTGTATTTGTACAAAACATAGGCATTATGCAATGCCATTTGCAGGAAATAAAAGGTAATCTTTTTGGTCCACTTGTGAGTTTTCCTGGTAAAATGGTAATGTTTAACCATATGATCGAAGTGGTCCACACCTTTCATGAACTTATTGTACTCGCAAATTGCAGTCGGTTTGTTCACTGTTACCTGTTGTATTCCACTTGTTCCGTCTCGGTTGCGAATTCGCTTCCTTCGCTGAACTCGCTGAGTGTCTGCATTGTGGATGTTGGTAATGATTGAAACCACTCGCTTGTCTTTCCACAGGAGAATGAAGGTATTATCTTTGCGGCAGTATACTGTGGTATCCAGTGGAAGTTTACTCTTGGCTAGAGCTTGCAATACCTTTGGGGCGCCACATAGCATTCTAATTGTGCCACATGTGTACACCCCAAGTTCTCTCAATGTTTCTTGAGTGCTTGTAGAAGTGCTTGGGCCTTGACCTTGATCCATTTTTGATGAAGTAATTGGGTATAATCCACACGGAAACGGGTAAAAATGCTCGAGTTTGGCGCGCGAGGGAAGCGTGATCGACTCACGACACGTGACACGAAAACAATGGGCCCGTCACGTGACCGGGTAGGCCGACACGCCAGGCGGTCTAGTGGTGAGAAAGAGAACTTCATGGCGCGTCGTTTGAAACAAACCCCAATGAAATCGGATTAAAATTGAATTTTATACAAATATTTTAAAAGTAGACATAACTTTATGTCCACTATGCGTTTACGTTAGACGAAACCGAACGCACCGGCGCGTCCAGATAGCGCGAAAGTGTTTTAATAGACGCAAACTGTGTTGCTGCTGGATGAAAGTGTTAATATAATTTTTAAGTGTACTTAATGTTTTGCAAAAAAGACCAACAATTACTTTAAAAATGATATAATTGGTACAAATAAAGAGGATGATACTCTACATATTCTGTAATGTTCATGCTACATTTTAGGGCCGTGGCAGACGCAGCTGCCCGTCGTGATGCCGAGATGAAAAAGCGATCACAAGCAGTACAGAGGAACTTGCCACGTCCTCAAGAAGTGAATTCGTCGGTGTTAAGGCCCATGCACGCTGATATTCACCTCTCAGATCAACAGAAAGCAGAGGAATTAATAAAGCGTGAGATGGTGACCATGCTCCATTACGATGCCTTACACACCCCAGCTGGCCCACCAAGCCGTAAAGGTGAGACTTAATCTGGGAAATATAGGAATTTAGTCGCAACATATTACAGAATAGTAGTAACCTTAATCTGGAGAATCCAATCGTGCACATTATCATTATTATGCTGTCAAAATCACTACTCTTGAATACACATTTGATCTTCACTGACATGATACAGATTGTTCACATTTATGTATCATGCAAGTTGGCTAGTGCATGTGTAATTGAGCCCAATGGTAGAATATCAAACTACATATTTTTGTTATCATGCAGTTGATTGAAGAATTTATCCATGACTCCTTTACTGGGAACATCCCATGATTAAAAAACTATGAATGGTGTGGATACATGGTGGGTAGTGTCCTTGGTGGTGGTGTGGTGTTCGGGTATGGGGTGCGTTGGCGGTTTGTGGTGTAGTGGTAGTTGAGTGTTAGTGGGGTGGTAGTTGAGTCTTAGTGGGGTGGTAGTTGAGTGTTAGTGGGGTGGTAGTTGAGTCTTAGTGGGGGATTTTGTTGGATGTTAGTGGAGGTTTTGTTGGGCGATAGTGGGGGGATTTTGTTCATAATATGGGCATATGGTATGTACCTGCTTGATGGGGGTTCTGGGAGTTCTACTCCCCAAGCCTGGTCTGAGGCCAGGCTTGTCTTGTGAGAGCTGGGTAATAGAGCAAGTGGTTAGTAGGGTGTGTATATGGTTGGTGGTGGCTCCAGGTGGGTGTGCTGGGCGTATGGTTGATGGTGGCTCCAGGTGGGTGTGCTGGGCATATGGTTGATGGTGGCTCCAGGTGGGTGTGCTGGGCATATGGTTGGTGGTGGCTCCAGGTGGGTGTGCTGGGCATATGGTTGGTGGTGGCTCCAGGTGGGTGTGCTGGGCATATGGTTGGTGGTGGCTCCAGGTGGGTGTGCTGGGCATATGGTTGGTGGTGGCTCCAGGTGGGTGTGCTGGGCATATGGTTGGTGGTGGCTCCAGGTGGGTGTGCTGGGCATATGGTTGATGGTGGCTCCAGGTGGGTGTGCTGGGCATATGGTTGGTGGTGGCTCCAGGTGGGTGTGCTGGGCATATGGTTGGTGGTGGCTCCAGGTGGGTGTGCTGGGCATATGGTTGATGGTGGCTCCAGGTGGGTGTGCTGGGCATATGGTTGATGGTGGTTCCAGGTGGGTGTGCTGGGCATATGGTTGGTGGTGGCTCCAGCGGGGTGTGCTGGGCATATGGTTGATGGTGGCTCCAGGTGGGTGTGCTGGGCATATGGTTGGTGGTGGCTCCAGGTGGGTGTGCTGGGCGTATGGTTGGTGGTGGCTCCAGGTGGGTGTGCTGGGCATATGGTTGATGGTGGCTCCAGGTGGGTGTGCTGGGCATATGGTTGATGGTGGCTCCAGGTGGGTGTGCTGGGCATATGGTTGGTGGTGGCTCCAGGTGGGTGTGCTGGGCGTATGGTTGGTGGTGGCTCCAGGTGGGTGTGCTGGGCATATGGTTGATGGTGGCTCCAGGTGGGTGTGCTGGGCATATGGTTGATGGTGGCTCCAGGTGGGTGTGCTGGGCATATGGTTGATGGTGGTTAATTGGGGTGTAAGTATGGTGACTTTTGGTGGGTCTTTGGTTGGTGGTATGGGCTGCCATTGGTGTTTAATTAAGCTACACTGGCCCCCCTTAACCCTTAAAGTGCGCATCACGTCATATGACGTGTTGGACGTTGTTCCAGTCAACTGCGCATCACGTCATATGACGTGTTGGAGTACTACGCAAGATTTAAACGGCCCGAGGATGGGGTTCACCACACCTTCATCAGGGCTCTTGTAAACAGACACCAATTTTAAAAGAAATTGTGGCCCAAACTCCCGGGTGTTATTGGCCTCAGTATTGAGTGAGCAACCAAGCCTGACGCACACAGCATGAGCTAACAGCACTGCTGTTTAGCTTGTGACCACAGCATCGGCTAAAAATGCCAAAATATACTTGTTCATTCTATTATGTAGCGATGATATTATTACAGAAGACCCTTGACTGATAAAACTGACCAGGGTTCTGATAATAGCAGGATTGTGGTGATATTTAGCGCTGTGCGCCATGGAGGAGGGAGGGTGGTGGCGATGTCTTCTGACTGTGTGTGGCCATCTTTTATTGACTGCACTCACCATACCAGCTTAGTGGTTTGCTATGGTGAACACAAATGTAGATACAGGCATACCTCAGTTTAAGAGTTTAATTGGTTCCTGGAGACGCCTTGTATTCCGAAAACTTGTATTCCGAAGCTAATTTCCCCATAAGAAATAAAGGGAAATGAATTAATCCGTTCCTGACTACCCCAAAAACCCCACATCAAACTAAATTTTTATACCTAATTCATCTAAATAAACCTACAAAACTATGTTAAAGTTATTACTTACCTTGCTGTTGAATGCTGTAGGCGTATGGAAGATGGTGAGGAGGGGAGAGGAGGAGAGGAGTTACTGTTTGGAAGGGGAGTCCCCTTCCATTATCACATCAGGCAGTGAGGACCTTTCTGGTGTGCTCTCCCTGGGACGTTTTATCTGAGTGCCACTAGGTCCTGGTTGAGGCTCACTGCTCGATTTCCTCACCACAAATCTGTCCATGGAAGCTTGCTTTTCCCTTCTTCGCAAGCTCTCTGTAGTAAGGCATCACATTGTCATTGAAAAGATTAAGACAACGGCCTACTACAGCTTTCTCTGGGTGAGTCTTTTCAACAATTGTTTGAGTCTCTTCCCACATCTGACACACCTTCTTAATTACTGCAGAAGGGACATTCGCTGGTGCTGCTGCCACCTCCTCCTCCACTGCAGAATCATCCGCTGCTGCGTTGGCTTGCTGTTCCTGTTGAAGGGCTAGGAGTTCTTCGGTGGTCAGTTCTTCGTTGTGTTCTTCACCAACTCCTCCACATCATCACCATCCAATTCCAAGCCCATTTGCTGGCCTAGACTAACAATTTCCTCAACAATAGGCGCATCATTTATAGGCTCAAACCCCTCAAAGTCTAGTTCTCTCGCACATTCAGGCCACAATTTTCTCCAGCCAGAGATCAGGGTTCTTTTGGTCACTTCTTGCCAGGCTTTGTCAACGAGTTTTAAAGCACTACAAATGTTAAAATGCTGTTTCCAGAACTCTTTGAGGGTGAGGTTTGTGGCTTCAGTCACTTCAAAACATTTCCAGAAAAGTGCCCTTTCATAAAGTTTCTTAAAATTCGCTATGATTTTCTGGTCCATAGGCTGAATTAGAAGAGTGGTGTTAGGAGGAAGGAATTTAACTGTGAGGAATTTATTGTATCTGGGCAACAAATCATCTTCCAAGCCTGGAGGATGAGCAGGAGCATTGTTGAGGAGAAGCACGGCTTTGAGTGGCAAATGTTTCTCCTGCAGATATTTTTCTATGGCAGGGCACACCACTTCATTCACCCACTCCGAAAAAATAAGCCTAGTCACCCATGCTTTTTTATTAGACTTCCACATCACACACAAATGGGTTTTCTGCACTTTATACTGTTTGAAAACCCTTGGATTTTCAGAATGATACACTAACAAGGGTTTAATTTTCAAATCGCTACTCGCATTTGAACACAGCACAAGTGTAAACCTATCTTTCATAGGCTTGTGTCCAGGCAAGGATTTTTCCTCCTTGGTAATGTATGTCCTCTTAGGCATTCTTTTCCAAAACAGTCCTGTTTCGTCACAATTAAACACTTGTTGCGATAGGTATCCCTCAGCCTCTGCAAACTCTTTAAATTCCTCAATAAATTGTCCAGCGGCTGGTTTGTCTGAGCTGGCTGCCTCCCCATGCCTTGTAACACTATGGATACCACTTCTCCTTCTAAATTTTTCAAACCAGCCCCTGCTTGCCTTAAACTCTTTCGTATCTGCATCACTCGTTGCAGGGGTATTCTTTGGAAGGTCTTCGTGCAACACCCTGGCTTTCTCACAAATAATGGCCTCCGAAACACTATCACCCCTTAACTCCTTGTCATGTATCCAAATTAATAACAACTTTTCCACTTCTTCAAGTATTTGTGGTCTTTGTTTCGTTATTGTTCTTACTCCTTTTGCCACTTTAGCACCCATAATCTCATTTTTCTTCTTAAGTATAGTGCATATTGTTGATGTGGCTTTGTTGTACTGCCTACAAAGTTCAACAACACGTGTACCGTTCTCATGCTTCCGAATGATCTCTTGTTTCTCCTCTACTGTATTGTCATCCTCACATGGGCTTTCTGGCCTTTATCCTTTCCACTGGCTTTCTTGGGACCCATGGTGAGATATATAATAACAAATTGTATAGTCAAATCACCAAAAATCCAACAAAACACTGAAAATCCGCGAGAAGAATTGATGTGGGGTAATCACTGAGCGCGAGACAATGGTAAACTGAGGGGCGGAGGGGCGACGATCGCCGAACCACCACGCGCTAGGTCGGCCTGTACGCTTATCAACAAACTCGTGTCCCGAGGTAACCCTCGCGTTCCGAGACATATTTTTCGAGGAAATCCTGCTCGTCTTCCGAAAAACTCGCATACAGGGACACTCGCATTCCGAGGTACCACTGTACTTATATATAACGTGTGTATAGAGGGTATAAACAGCAAGAGAAGGTTGGGAGCCGCCATTCTGGTGAGGGCGGTGGCGTAGTCTGCACGACGCAACCGTGCAGACGACGGTGTTGTTTACTGGTTACCACGATGGTCTTTGGGCACCATACCAGTTTATTTGTACAAGTATGGTGAATAAAACAGGTAGATATTTATATATAAGGTGTGTATATAGCGTAATAACACCACACAGTATTGTTGGAGGAGAAATATTAGTGCGTCTGGCCTTGAGGGCGGCAGCCATCAGCTGACTGTGTGAGGTCCTACGTCTTTGTGCCTTTACTCACCATACAAGCTTAGATGTACAGTTATGGTGAACAAAACATGTAAATACTTATATATGACGTCTGTATATAAGATATATAGCGTAATAACACCACACAGTATTGTTGGAGGAGAAATATTAGTGCGTCTGGCCTTGAGGGCAGCA